GAAACGTCTGACCTCTGTCATTGCCAACAAAGGATATATAACAAAGTATTGAGATGAACTTTTGATATTGACCAAATACTTATTTTCCACCATAATTTGCAAATAAATTCTTTCCAAATCAACCAATGTGATTGCCTGGATTTTTTTTTCTCATTTTGTCTCTCATAGTTGAGGTCTACCTACGATGCCCAATTACAGGCCTCTCTCATATAAGTGGGAGAACTTGCACAATTGGTGGCTGACTAAATACTTTTTTGCCCCACTGTATATATGTGTGTGTATTTATATATATGTGTATATATATGTATATATATATATATATATATATATATATGTGTGTATATATATGTATGTGTTTATATATATATATATGTATGTGTATATATGTGTATGTATGTGTGTATTTATATATATATATACATATATATGTATGTATATATATATATATATATATATATATATATGTACTGTATATATAGAATATTTTTGGTTTTTTTTTCCACTTAAAAAGTGTCATCATCATCATGATGATGAAAATGCATGTTGTCATTGTAATTATAGGTATGGCCATACTGGCAGTGATGTAAGTAATGTCGGAAGCTTACTTCACATCCTCAGAAAATATGTGTATTTCCTTTTAGTGGATATGGGTTCCGTATTTCATTTAACAGTCAGGGGAAAAGACTTGTTGGCTTTCATGGAAGAATGACATCAATGGTACACAGCTCTGAGGGCTGCGGAGAAGCCAGCTGTGTCTGGCCGGTTCTATGGATGATCCTGCTTGGAGTTCCTCCGAGATGCAACCAGATGTTCTACAAAAATGATGAACAATGAAATTAAAATATCAGAATAGACAGAGCTGGAAAAACATCTCATTATTATTATTATTATACAGGATTTATAGCGCCAACAGTTTGCTCAGTGCTTTACAATATAACGGGAGACAATACAGCAACAAAAGGGATATAAGGGCCCTGCTCCTCGGAGCTTACAATCTAGGAGGTTCTATCCATGGTTTTTTCATTAAAGCTGAATTCTACCCTTGCCCCCTAGCATCCCCAACCCAATAACATTTAAAAAAAAAGTGTATATTTTTTCATTTTACCAATATGGAGATCACATCGCAAAAAACTTTCATTTGGAATGTATTCATGCCTGAGACCTAGATGATAATAATACAAACAGGAGCGGCATCAAGTAAATGAACCTTTTCTGAAACTGGGAAGTGGAACATTCAAAGAGAAGAAGACAATTTGTGATGGACCAACTATTCCATTTTTAGAATATGTAGAGAGGAAAAATCATCAATTCCAAGGGGCAACCAAACAAACAAAAAAAAAAGGGGGGGAAAGGTAGAGCTCCCTGCCAAAAGTTGGAGACTACAAAGATTTGCGTGAGGAAGGGGCAAACAACGGCCTTTAGGAAAAGGCAGGGATAGGAGGAGTGGAGGGGGAACTGTTGCCAACCCAGATCTGGTCCACTAAAAGTTATCCAAGGTCACACATTCTAAGTACCCGTCAATGGATTTTTTTATTCCTGAGAATATACAATTTCCATTCAATAGTACCACCTGTTTCTAAATTTTTCATCGCAATGGTATAGAGCAGGGGCACACTGCCCCAAGGGCCCCGGGTCAGTAGGGGGCCCCATGAGATGCCCCTGGTACCTTTTTCATAGGATTTTTTTGAGTTTGGGCAAGGACACAGGAGGCCCCATGATCCCCTTTTGCCCGGGGGCCCCATGAGATGTCAGTCCGCCCCTGGTATAGAGTTGCCATCAGATCCTCGATATGGTGGACCTCTGTGACTTTGGAATGGTAGGGGGTAATTCCTGTCTCCAGAGCACAAGAACACAGACACCTGGATGCATTTACCAGGTGATCCAATTTTTTTAGTTTGTCCGTTTGTTTAGATGTCTTCAGGCCAGTCATGTGATATGAAGGGTTTTCCTCCTCTCTCTCCAGCACTGAAAGGTCCGAAATGGTGCAGTAAAGTGGAAAAATATTGCTGGACCCGTAAGGTTATCCCATTGGTATTGCTATCCTATTGATTGTGTTGGTTTAAATGATCTGGTTTCCAGGCAGAAGGCTTCTACACCCTAGAGGATCTCCATTGTCTGTTTGGCTTGTAGAGTAATGTAACAAAAATGGAAATAAAAACGCGATACCACTGTTAAGAGGTCCAAATACAACTCTATTCTAATAAAAGTCAGGGGACAATCCAAAAAGGAGCCAACGCGTTTCTGGGGTCCAAGAGCGCCCTCTTCATCAGTGCTTGATTGACACAATGTGAATAGAACAGAAGTGAACTGGACCTTTATTATAATTTTTTCCACGGCAAGCACAGGCCTTGACAGCAGCTGGATTTCCAGCTCAGATCTGGTCCACTAAAAGCGGCCCAAGGTCACACTTTCTAAGCACCCATCATTAGATTATTTTTTTTATCCCTGAGAATATGCAATTTCCATCCAATAGTCCCACCTGTTTCTAAATCTTTCTTCGCGATGGTATAAAGTGGGCGTCAGATCCTCCATATGGTGGATCTCTGCAACCTTGGATTGGTAGAGGATAAATCCTGTCTGCAGAGCATAGGAACACAAGCCTTGGCCACATTTACCAGGTGATCACATTTTTCTCTTGTATGTACTTTTCTTTAGATTTCTTCAGGCCAATCTTGTGACATGAAGGGGTTCTCCTCTTATTTGCTTCTTCTCCGATGCTAGGAGGTCCCAAATGGTGTAGAGAGCTTTGTTGATGTGATAAAGTCAGTGCTATTCTCTGCGTCCTTGTACTGTGAGTCTTTTTTTTACTGATATGGAGATCTCAAAAAACAAATTCGAGACCTTGATGAAATACTATGTTAATACAAACCAGCACAACATCAAGTAAACAAAACTTATCTGAAACCAAGTGGTGGAATATTCAGAGGAGGAAAGAGGACAAGAGGATAAGAACCTTTGTGATGGACAATCCACTGAATTTTTAAGGTACGTAGAAAGTAGAAATCTTTAACTCTGAGGGCAATCAAAGAAAAGAAAAAAAAACAAAAAGGGAGAGGTAGAGCTCCAAAGTTAGAGCAGATAAAGATTAGGGGAGGTAGGGGAAAACAGGGGCAACTAGGAAAAAAACAAGGACAGGAGGAGTAGAGTGGAGGGAGAACTGTTACCAGCCTAGATCTGGTCCAATAAAAGTGACCCATGGTCACATTTTCTAAGTAAGTACCCATCGATCGATAGGGGGGAAAGGTAGAGCTCCCTGCCAAAAAGTTGGAGACTACAAAGATTTGCATGAGGAAGGGGCAAACAACGGCCTTTAGGAAAAGGCAGGGATAGGAGGAGTGGAGGGGGAACTGTTGCCAACCCAGATCTGGTCTACTAAAAGTTATCCAAGGTCACACATTCTAAGTACCCATCAATGGATTTTTTTATTCTTGAGAATATACAATTTCCATTCAATAGTACCACCTGCTTCTAAATTTTTCATCGCAATGGTATAGAGTACCCGTCAATGGATTTTTTTATTCCTGAGAATATACAATTTCCATCCAATAGTACCACCTGTCTCTAAATTTTTCATGGTGATGGTATAGAGTTGCCATCAGATCCTCCATATCGTGGATCTCTGCAACTTTGGATTGGTAGTGGATAATTCCTGTCTCCAGAGCATAGGGACATAAGATGTGACCACATTTCCCACATGGAAGAAAAATATATTTTAAATATATCTTAAAAATACATTCGGATTATATTCTTCCCAAATATATTGACATATATTTCAAATACTACAATTTTGGCCGTATTCAATATATTTCAAAAATATACTTCAATATATTTGTGAATATATTATTAAAAATATATTCAGAACACATGCTGCAATATATATCAAATTGTAATTTGGAATGCATTTACAATATATTTAAAAATCCATGTTTAAATGCATTTATTTAGATGTTCAAAAATATCTGGAAAATATATTTTGAAAAATATATTTTTAACCCCTTCCTGCCCAGGCCAATTTCCAGCTTTCAGCGCTGTCACACTTTGAATGACAATTGCGCGGTCATGCAACACTGTACCCATATGAAATTGTTATAATTTTTTTGTGACAGATAAAGCTTTGTTTTGGTGGTATTTAATCACCTCGGGGTTTTTTCTTTTTTCTTAAACAAACCAAAAACCACTGAAAATGTTTTTTTTTTAAAAAAAAGTTTTTTTCTTAGTTTTTGTTATAAAATTTTGTAAATAAGTGATTTTTCTCCTTCACTGATGTGCGCTAATGAGGCTGCAGTGATGGGCACTGATAGGCTGCACTGATGGACACTGATAGGTGGCACTGATGAGCACTGATAGGGTGCACTGATGGACACTGATAGGTGGCACTGATGGGCACTGATGAGGAGGCACTGGTAGGTGGCATTGATGGGCATTGACAGGCATCACTGATGGACACTGAAAGGCAGCACTCATATATGGCACTGATAGGCGGCACTGATAGGTGGCACTGATAGGCGGCACTGACTGACACTGATAGGCAGCACTGACTGGCACTGTTAGGTGGCACTGATAGGTGGCACTCACTGACACTGATAGGCGGCATTGACTGTTACTGATGGGTGACACTGAAAGGCAGCTCAGATGGGCACTGATATGTGGCATTGATGTGTCACTGATGGGCACTGAAATATGGCACTGATGGGCACTGGCAGGTGGCATGGATGAGCACTGAGAGCTGGCACTGATGGACACTGACAGGTGGCACTGCTGGGGCTACACTGATCATCAGTGCTCTGATGATCAGTGCACATGTCCCCTCCGAGGAATGCCGATTACTGTCTCTCCTCCCCTCACGAGCTGTCAGCGTGACAGCTCGTGGGGAGAGAAATGCTGATAACCGACATTTCCCTGTTTACATGTGATCAGCTGTGATTGGAAACAGCTGATCACATGACCGAGCCAACATCTTCGGCTCTTTCCATGGATCAGTGGGACACAGCGCACCGCCGATCGCCGCGCTGCATGCTCCAGGAGCCGCGCATGCGCGGTGAGAATGGGAGGACGTCATATGACGTCCTCCCAGAACGAGAGAACCCGCCTTGCGCCCGTCATATTACTATATGGCGGGCGGGAGGCAGGTTAAATATATGCCTTTGGAAAATATATTTTGATTTACATTTTTGGAATACATGTTAAAATATATTCGTATTGTAAATATATGCTGCATGTATAATTTTATTTCTAAATATAGTGAAAATATAATTTTCTTCCATATGGGTTACCAGGTGAGCAATTTTTTTTGTACATCCTTTTCTTCAAATGACTTCAAGCCAACCATGGAACATGAAGGGTTCTCCTCCTATTGCTGGACCCGTATGATTATCCCATTGGTGTTGCTATCCTAAAGTATTGATGTTGGTTTTAATGATCTGGTTTCCGGCACTGGCTGGTCTGAAATGGTGCAGAGAGCTTTGCCAATGACGTATTCTCTGCATCCTTGTACTGTGAGTGCAGGGTGCCATTATGATGCCCTTTGACCAGCCTGAGCATTGTTCAAACTAGGAGACCTCAAATGGTGACCTCATGGCTATGAGTGACAGCACCGGAGAGAAGATGAGTGTTGCAGCTACTTTTTACATTTTTTTTAATTGTTGGTGCACTAAATAAAGTATAAAACTGGAATTGGGTTTAGAACTGGTAAGACGCACCTCCCACACATGTACACAGGAGTAAACTCATCCCAGCACCAAGGTATCTCAGGAATGTCAAGGCTAGACTCAAGGCTGTCAAGGATGACTTGACATAATTCTCTTACATAAATAAAGGTGTCACCAGCCCTCTGACGAATATGCAAATTAGATAAATACATCAAATGGGACTATCAAGCTTCCCTAAACAGAAGCAAAATCATACAAAAACGTAATATATTTTATTATATTAAAGATAAAAACTTTACCACAACATCTGAAAACATTTAGAAGCAAAAGAAGAAGACCAAAGGGAAACACAGATCGTCACTATGAGTGTATAACAAGGTCACAAATGATAATAATCCCTACAATACTTATTAGTTCAATGCAATTTGACCTTAACGTCCTTGGTATTGATCACCATACATCTTGTCTATAGGGCCTGGTCTGTGCACAATTTGGCACGGTACCACTTTTTATTTTTTATTTATTTAATTTATTACACTCCCACGTTTGTCACTTTTTCTTGCTTTTGTGTGTGTTTTTCACAGGATGGAGGGTGTGGGTCCTCGGGCCTTCCCTGAAGTCTAGGGGGAGGATGTGTGGCCTTTTGGTTCCTTCCTCCCCTGATCCCTAGGGGGTTTTCTCTTCGGGAGAGCCCCCTGACCAAGTACTCGGTGTCCGGCTTCCGGCTGGACACAAGGAACGGTGGTCCACCAGGCCTTTTGGCCAGGAGGACCAAATGGGAACCTTGTCCCTGTCAGGAGCTTCGTGCCCCGGGGGATCAGGGTAGTGGTCCAGCCCCTTTAGGGGTAGGACAAAAGCACACCCCTAAGTGCACTTTTTCGTGTGGTGTTCGCACTTGCACTTTTTTTGTGATCACTTACGGGTTTTTTCGTTCTAGTTTGCACGTTTGCGGACTTAAAAAAAAAACCAAAAAACATCTTGTCTATAATACGCATGAAACAAAGTAAGTATTAGTGTTACTCATTTCGTGGATCAACCCACATGGAAGAAAAATATATTTTAAATATACTTTTAAAATATTCTTACCAAATATAATATATTGACATATATTTGAAATACTACAATTTTGGCCATATTCAATATATTTCAAACTATATTTCAATAAAAAAAAAAAAAAAAGATTATACTGTATATTAATACACACAGACATATTATTATTATTATTATTACATCGAGTTTATATAGCGCCAAAGGGTTTGCTCAGCGCTGTACAATAGAGGGGGGACAATACATGGCACAGTACAACAACAACAAACAACGTACGAGGGGTAAGAGGGCCCTACTCTTTCGAGCTTACAATCTAGGAGGGAGGGGGTAAAGGTAAAGTAGGAAGTGGCTGAGGGGAATGAGGGGTGGGAGGAAAGAGGGAGAATGGCCGTTAGGTGAGGGTGGGGTAGGCTTCCCTGAAGAGATGGGTTTTGAGGGAGCGCCTGAATATGAAGAGGGAAGGTGACAGTCTGATGGATTGGGGCAGTGAGTTCCAGAGGATGGGGGAGGACCTGGAGAAGTCCTGCAGTCGTGCATGGGAGGAGGAGACCAGGGAGCAGGATAGAAGGAGGTCCTGTGAGGAGCGAAGGGTACGGGTAGGGGCGGTACTTGGGGATCAGGTTGGTGAGGTAGTCAGGGGCAGTGTTGTGAACGGCTTTGTAGGTCAGGGTTAGGAGTTTAAATTTGATGCGTTGGGCAATCGGGAGCCAGTGGAGGGAGAGGCAGAGGGGGGTGGCAGAGGTGGAGCGGGGTGGTGAGGTGGATGAGTCTAGCCGCTGAGTTCAGGATGGTCTGGAGCGGGGATAGAGCCTGCACTGGGTAGGCCGGTGAGAAGAGAATTACAGTAGTCAAGGCGTGAGATGATGAGGGAGTGTACTAGAAGTTTGGTGGTGTCAAGGGTGAGGAAGGTACGTATCTTGGCAATGTTGCGGAGGTTGAGCCTGCATGTGTTTGTGAGTGATTTGACATGCGGTTGGAAGGAGAGGTTCGAGTCAAGAATGACGCCAAGGACTTTGGCTTGCGGGGCGGGAGTGATAGTGGAGTTGTTGGTGATGATGGATAGGATGGGGGGGGGGGGTGTTGGCAGGGGGAAAGACGAGGAGCTCGGTTTTGGAGAGGTTGAGCTTGAGGAAATGTAGCGACATCCAGTCTAAGATGTCATTTAGGAGGTGAGTGATGCGGGCAGAGATAGTGGGGGTGAGGTGAGGGGTGGATAGGTAGATTTGGGTGTCGTCAGCGTAGAGGTGATAGTTGAAGCCGTGAGAGTGTATGAGTTTGCCCAGGGAGGAGGTGTAGATGGAGAAGAGAAGGGGTCCAAGGACAGAGCCTTGGGGGACCCCAACAGAGAGGGGGAGGGAGGGGGAGGTGGCACCATTGTAGGTGACACTGAAGGAGCATCGGGATAGGTAGGATGAGAACCAAGAGAGAGCAGTATCTCTGATGCCAAGGGAGAGTAGTTTATTAAGGAGGAGGGGGTGGTCAACTGTGTCGAAGGCCGCAGAGAGGTCCAGGAGAAGGAGGACAGAGTAGTCGCCCTTGGCTTTGGCGTTTAGTAGGTCGTTAGTGATTTTGAGGAGGGCAGTTTCAGTGAGTGTAGGGGACGGAAGCCGGACTGTAGAGGGTCAAGGAGGTTATTGTCTGTAAGGTGGGAGCTTAGGCGATCGTAGACTATGCGTTCAAGGAGCTTGGAGGTGAGTGGCAGCAGGGAGATGGGTCTGAGGTTGTTGGGGTCCGCGGGATCCAGGAAGGGCTTTTTGAGGATGGTGGTGATATGCGCGTGCTTTAGGGGGGAGGGGAATACGCCAGTAGAGAGGGAGAGATTGAAGATGTGGGTGAGGGAGCGGATGAGGGAGGCGGGGGGTGACCGGAGGAGTTGAGAGGGGAAAGGGTCCAGGGGGCAGGTAGTGAGGCGGGCTTCTGAGAGGACTTTGGCGACTTTGGCGACATTTTAAAACATACTGTATGTCTTTAAAAATACATTTAATCTACATTTTTGGAATGCATGTACAAATATATGTAAAAATATATATTAACCACATGCCGCCCAGCCACTGTAGAAATACGGCGGCAGGGCGGCACGGCTGGGCAAAAGCACTTTTTAAAACGTGTGTTTTGTAAACAGGTAGGGGGCGCGTGTGAGGCACGCCGCCGCCCTACCTGTCCCGCCGATTCCGGCCGCGGATGCCAGTCGCCGGGTCACAGCCGGTCGTTACCGGCTATGTCCCGGCGATCGGCGGCAATCGCTGACAGAGAGCACAGCTGCAGTAGCTGTGCTTTCTGTCAGTTCCCTAATAGCTCGAGGACACGCTGATCGGGACAGAAGAGTTTCTCTCTCCCGATCAGCGGTGTTCCCTGCAGTACACACCCCCGCCCCCTAGTAAAACACTCCCCCTCACACAGTTAACCCTTTCCCTGAATAATAAACTTAACCCCTTCCTCCCCCGTGCCATTAGTACAGTGTCAGTGTTTTTTTTTTTGCACTGATCACTGTATTGGTGTCACTGGGGATGTCAGTGACCCCAAGTCGGTACCCCCCAATGTCAGAATGTCTGCCGCAGTCCCGCCATAAGTCGCCGCCATAAGTGATGATCGCCGCCATAAGTCACTGATCGCTGCCATAAAGTCCCTGATCGCCACCATTATTAGTATAAAAAAAACCTAAAAATCCCAGTATCTTTCCCGCCATTTGTAAACGCTATAACTTTCACGTAAACCAATTAATTTACACGTATTGGGTTTTGTTTTTAGCAAAGACATGTCGCAGAATGCATTTTGGCTGAAATTTATGATTTTTACATTTTTTTTACTGGACATGTTTTATAGCAAAAAGTCCAAAATATTGTTTTTTTTCTTCAAAATTGTCAGCCTTTTTTTTTATATAGCGCAAAAAATAAAAACCGCACAGGCGATCAAATACCACCGAAAGAAAGCTCAATTTGTGGAAAAAAAAGGATGTAAATTTCATTTATGTACCGTATTGCATGACCGCGCAATTGTCCGTTAAACTAGCGCAGCGCTGTATGGCAAAAAAATGGCATAAAGTGCAGTATCTATACCATAGTTTGTAGACGCTATAACTTCCACACAAAGCAATCAATATACACTTATTGGGACTTTTTTTACCAAAAACATGGAGCAGAATACATTTTGACCTAAATTTATAACTAACTTTAAATTTACTATATATTTTTTATAGCTGAAAGTAAAAAATATTGTTTTTCTTCAAAATTTTTGGCATTTTTTTGTTTATAGCGTGAAAAATAAAAAGCGCACAGGTGATCAAATACCACGGAAAGAAAGCTCTA